TTCTTCTTCGCCCGACCTTACGCAATGCTTCCCTGGGACTACATGTAGCTGGATTCTAGTTTTGAGGGTGGTTGTCTGGCAAGTCAGCAGACATCGGTCGTAGGTCGTAGAAGTGTATCCCGATGAATCCGAAACCGCGTAGCCCTCGAGCCTCTGAAGAATTCCATTATGATCTGGCTCTGTCAGACATAGGGAGAGAGATAGAGGGGGGCAATGTAATTCTGCTTCAGACCATAGCCACCGTATTGCTTATTCAAAGAATGAAGTAAAAGGAAGAAAGAAAGAAAGAAAGAAAGAAAGACAAAAGTAAAACCAGAAAAAGATGACAGCGACAGCCACTAATAAATAAATAAGGCCTCCAGGCAAGAGAAGGAAGGAAGGGTAGGTAACTAATTAACTAACTAACCCCCACGCTTTCATCTACAATGGAAAGCGTATGAGTGGATAAACATGCAAACCCGGCCCCGGTCCCGATAGTACCACGCGAGAGATCCCGAGGGTAAAAGCCAATGGGACGAGAATGAATAATCGGGAAGAAGGAAAGAAAAGAAAAAAATGAAAAAAGAAGACAGAATAAGGAAAAGGAAAAAGAAAAGTCTCTGCGGCATCAGCTGCCACATGTTGTTGCCGGGGTTCAGGTTAGTTAGTTAGGGGGAAAACACATGCTTGGCAAATCGAGGATTTTGCCGAGGGGTGGACCTGGGGATTATACCTTGCCTGCTTAGTTGGGTGGTACTTTGCTTGGCTATTTGGATGGATGGGATCTTGGTTTGAAGAGGTAATTATGTGCGGAGTAGTATAGTAGCTATTCGGTTGGGATGTGTTGGATATGGGAGGAGTAGTAGGTATTCGGGTGAAAAGTAGATGGATGTAGACTCGGCTGCCAGTAGTAGATAGACTTGTTATGGGATCCCGATGGATGGATGGATGGATGGTGGATGGATCAGGTACATACGAAGTAAGGTACTGCTTGGTTGTTCCAACCGGGTAGTTACTTTTGTGAACCATGGACAGGCTGGCTACTGCTTACCTTCATGGCCTGATCTCTCTTTCTGTGTGTGTGTGGCGTTGAGAATGAATTTTCTCCATTATTTTCCTCCTTCGGGGGCGGGGGAGCAGACGGGGGGCCGAATAGATGATCTAGCCGGCATGTGCGATATATGCCCGTGTCGCTAAGCCAGCAAGGAAGTAATCCCTCTTTTCCCGATGGCCATGGCCTCTTCTCCTCTCTCTCGTTGAATGTCGGGTCCATCCGCCGGTAAACTCTCCAACCTACCATTGATGACGAAGATTGGTTTTTGCTGACTGACCTGATGATCAATCAAACCGGCGGTGACTCTCGTGCGTGAAGGAAGGGGAAGAGGGGTTGGTATTCCCGTATGACCAATTAATATCCACCATGGTGGAGTTGCATCCATCCATCAGGAAGTACGGAGTATATGATTGATGATTGATCCTTTGGGGAAGACCGGTTGAAGCCAGAGCCGGGGTTGAGAGGGTAGGGATCTTCCGCCTGGGGTCGACATCGTGAGAGCGAGCTTTTTGATTTTTCGGGCCGGTGTTCCTTGGCACCGACCAAGTTGGTTTAAGTTTTTCTCGGGGAATTGGATCGGTCTGGGGTTGAGGATTGCGGGATGGTTGTGGATGACTGTATGTGCCTTACAGTTTTTTTTGTTACTCAAGAAAAGGTCGACGTTTTGAGTTAAAATTGAAGAGAATTCTTTTGTATGCAAAGAGTAAGAATTAGATCTTACCCGATGGATAAATGTATCTCTTCTTTTCTCGGGGATTTTAGATGGAGAAGAGATGTAGAGGTGTGTCTTGTGGAGTGAAGAGAAAGAGAAAAGTGGAGAGCAGGAAGAGGACCCTCGCTCGGGAACCCCCACGGAATGTTGCTGATGGCCTCCCACGCTCTTCTCTTCCCTCTCTCTCTCTCTCTCTCTCTCTCTGTCTACTCCATACTACAGCAACAACATCATCATCATCATCATCTTCTTCTTATTTTACCCCCACGCCAGTCGGCCCTCTCCACAAATGGCATCCCACCAGTCCCGACGGTTTCCCCTAATGATCCTGATCTCATCTCCAGACTCTCTCCCCGCTTCCGTCTTCCCCATTGGCGGGGTTGGCTGTTTCTAGTCTTCAACCATGTCTTCATTCCCGATCCCCATTGCCATTGCGGCTTCTCTTCCCCGTCTGTCTCCCCATCCTTCGGGAACCTTGTCGGGTCGTCATCGCTCGGTTCTCTACTCTCTGACCACATCAAAAAGGTCCCCTGGTCCCGACTGCAGCTGGCACCATGGTCCCGTGGTTTACTCTACTCCTCCTCCCTTTCTCCCTCTCCTCTTCCTAATCTTTCCTATCTCTTGATCCCCTTGCCCTCCCTTACTTGAACCGTTTCCACCTCCCTCTCCTGTTGATCCATTCTTCTTCTTCTCACGTTGTCGTTGTCATTGTCAGTGTCATTGTCATTGTCTCCCTCCCTTTTGCCTCATAGAAGGCCAGTGTCAGACCATCGGAGACAATCATGTCCCCCAGAACTTCTCATGATGTCGAACGGGACTTCGACAAGAGCCATGTCGACAACGTCGAGATCGTGACCGATGGAGTGGCCAATGCCGACAAACCGAACCCCAAGAAGGAGGCCCCGGCCTATGTGGCCAGTCTCTCCCCCGAGGAGCGTGAGAGAGCCGAGAAGGCCCTGGTCCGCAAGATTGACCTGCGTCTTCTGCCCATGATCATCATCATGTACATCCTTAACTATCTGGACCGGAATAACATCGTAAGTGGAATGCTTTAGCTTGTCCGTATAATCAATTCTGTGCTCACTATTCTGTTTACTATCAGGCTGCTGCCAAACTCGCTGGTCTCGTCACCGACTTGAACTTGCAGGGCGTGGAATACCAGACCTGTGTCAGTATCCTGTTCGTGGGTTATCTGTTGATGCAAAGTAGGTGCAGACCTCTATTGGCAGAGTAGCAAATACTAACAGTACCAGTTCCCTCCAATTTGCTCCTGAACAAGTTCGGAAAGCCTGCCCTCTACCTTCCGGGTGCTATGATGCTATGGGGTATTATCTCTACGTGCACGGCGGGAGCTCAGAACTATGCCGGCTTGGTTGTAGTTCGCTTCTTCCTCGGTTTCGTTGAAGCTGCTTACTTCGTACGTCTGCCTAGACGGAAACAATATATTTCAGAGCGCCTTACTGACTTCTATTCTCCCTTCCAGCCTGGCTGTCTTTACTTCCTGAGTGCCTGGTACACTCGCAAGGAACTCGGCTTCCGCACTGCAGCTCTCTACTCGGGTTCCCTGATTTCAGGAGCTTTCTCTGGACTTATTGCCGCTGGTATCACTGAGAACATGGACTACAAGATGGGTCTTCGTGCTTGGTTAGTTCCAAAATAAAAACATAAGACGTGCAAATCGCTGACTTGAGAGCAACAGGCGCTGGCTTTTCATCATCGAGGGTGCAATCACCATCGTTGTTGCCGCCATCTCCATCTTCATTCTGCCCAACTTCCCTAGAACCACCAGCTGGCTCAGCGAAGAAGAGAAGCAGCTTGCCGCTTGGCGGCTGGAGGAAGACATCGGTGAGGACGACTGGGTGGATAGTGAACAACAAACCTTCCTCCACGGTGTGCAGTTGGCCTTTACCGATATTAAGACCTGGATTCTTGTAAGTGCCCAGTTACAAAGTCATTGCCCTTCTCTCAGCTTACACATATAGATGCTACTCATCTTGTGCATTGTCTCTTCCGCCTCCGTCACAAACTTCTTCCCCACCGTCGTCAAGACCCTCAACTACGGCAACATCGAGACGCTTCTGCTCACCGCTCCCCCATACGTTCTGGCCGTCATCTGTGCCTTTGCCAATGCCTGGCATGCCGACCGTACTGGCGAGCGCTACTTCCACATCACCCTTCCCCTGTACATCTCCGTCGCGTCTTTCATCCTCGCTGCCACCACCACCAGTATCGCTCCCCGCTATGTCTCTATGATGCTGATGGTCCCATCCCTGTACACCGGCTACGTGGTAGCCCTGGGCTGGATCTCAAGCACCCTCCCCCGTCCGGCATCGAAGCGTGCTGCGGCTCTGGCAGGTATCAACTGCGTCAGTAATGCCAGTAGTATCTATGCCAGTTACATGTACCCGGACAGTGATGCGCCACGATTCGGTAAGTAGCCTCATTCGACTTACTATCTCACAAAAGCCAGACACTAATTATACTACTAGTCACTGCCATGACCGTCAACTGTGTCACCGCCTTCGTGGCCATTCTGTCCGCAACTGCCCTCCGCTTCATTCTCGTCCGGCTGAACAAGAAGCTCGATCGGGGCGAGGGCCTGGGCGATGGCGGAGGTGTCCCTGGCCAAGCCAGCTCCAGGGGCTTCCGTTTCTTGGTTTAGAATTAGATTGCTTTGTTACGACTTCGGATTGTTATGGGTTGCTTTATATACCCCGAGCGGGTTATGGTTATGGTTATGGTTTTGGTAAATATTTGCACACAGCATTCCTATCAGATTTTGGGTCATCTAGTTGGCTGGCTAGTATCATGACGAGTATGCACGATGCACGATGCATGATGCATTATGATGTGTTATTTTACCTATCTATTATTGGGTATTAAATGAAGACATGATCTGAATACAAAATGTGATTTTAACTACAACGACATACCCCCAAATACATCAATTAAGGCCTATTATCTTATTACCAGAACTCTCAAAACCCCTCAATCAGCCCAAGACTACTTGAATAAAGACATGATCTGAAAACAAAATGTGATTTGAACTACGACATACCAAGAACCCCAAACACCTTTCCCATATCCCACCAGAACCCTCAAGACCCCTCGATCTAAAACCCAAAGCTTACATAAAAATAAAGATACAATATGATACAAATCATGAATTGAACTAAAACAACACACAACAAAAACCTAAATCAATAATCCCTTTTTCTACCTACACCACACTAAACCTCTCTCTCTCTACATCACTCAAGCAAACTTCAACCTCTCCACACTCCACCCCGGTCTCAACCCCTCAGTCTCCAACCCAGCCACATCCAACGAACTATCCGCCACATAATTCACCTTCCAATCGACCGTAATTTCCGCCCCATCCTCCGTCTGCGCCCACACCGCCACCCCAATCGTATTCTCCCCACTGTAATCCAACACCCCCACGGGAACCGGGAACACCACCTGGTTGCCAATGTACGGATTGAACCGTCCGTACTGGTATCCGTTCACGAATAACTGCGCGCGGTACGCATTCGGTGCGTTGTTAGGTGTGCCCAGTACGAATGAGATGGAGACGTCTAGGCCTCGTGGGATGTTGAGGGGGATGGTGGTGCGGAAGAATTTTACTGTTGCGCCGGTGAAGGATAGACTTGATGATGATACACTGGGCCATGTGCTGTCGTCGAACCCGGGCAGATGCCATCCGACTCGCTCTGCGTAGAGCCCGTCTTCGTTCCAGGCACCGCGGACCGGGTCGAGGTTGGATTCGCCGCCGGCGGTGCCGGCGAGGCGCCAGTGGGTGAATTCGGGGGACGTGGTGTTGTCGGAGGGGAGGAGGCGCGCTTCGAGAATGCCGCGTGGGTTGAGGGCGCCGGTGGTTTCGTCGTGGCCGGTGTCGTCGTGGATTATTAGGAGGGTGTTTTGGGTGGCTTGGTGGGTGATGTTGGTTGGGAAGACGAAGGTTTGGTTGGCTTGTTCGATGGAGGCGTTGCCCAGATAGGAGCCTAGGAAGTGGCCGTTTAGGTAGGCGGAGAAACCGCTGGTTTTTTGTTAGATGGGGGTGGTTGTTTGTAGGTGGAGGGAGAAAGGGGAAGGAAGGGCTTACAATGCGCTGCCTCCTTGGACGTTCAGGAAGACTCCGCTGGCGCTGCCGTTGAAGTAGCCGCGCCAGAGACGGACGCCGTTGTGGAAGCCTAGGGTGGAAGTATATTAGGTTAGTTTGTTAGGTATAGAGGAAGAGGGTAGACGTACCGTATTCGTCAGCGTAGAGGACGGGCAGTGTGGCGGGTTTGCTGGGGTTGGCGGTTGTCATGTGGTTTGCATCTGGGATAGAGGTTAGTATCGGGTGAAGGAGTTGAAGTGACGAATGTACTGACCAACCCACGCCGGACCGGAGGCATCGTATGTCGGAAGTCGCTCCGGCAGGCTGTCGTTGACTTTCCAGGAAGTGAAAGCTGGCAGTTGAATAGATACAGGCGCAGCGATAGTGGCCTTGAGGCTACCGTAGGAGGACTTGGATGTCTTTAGTTGCTTGCCGTTCCATGTGACGGTTTTGACATCCTTAGGCGCGAAGATTTCCACAGCTGTTTCGTTGATGGAGTCGCCCTTGATTGCAAGAGTTGATTTCTCCAGACTAGCGGAGCGAACAAGATATGGGCCTTGGATGAGAACTACTCGTGGGTTAGATCGTTACTCTGGATATCAAGGAGTCTGTTTTGTTTTCTTACCCGCTTCGTCCTCCGGAACAAGAGGGTCCTCTGTTAGAGCAGGGGCCCAGAACTCGTATGCTGCGGTCCTGTCTAGTAGGATCACCCGAATGTCGTTGTCGATCTGAACGACACTCATTCCCTGGGCCTGAGTAAATCCGACGACAAGGTTACCTCCTTGTTGGTGGAAGTTGATCGCTGAGCAGTCTTGACACTTTGACACAACAGACCCGGATTTTGCGCCCTTCACTGCGAATTCTCCAGACTCGCCTGTCGGAACCCAAAGGACGAGGGTGGGCTTCTTGTCCAAGACGGCGTAAGTGAGGACTTCGGCAGTAGAATACAGAAGGGTCTCCGACCCGAAGGTGAAGTCGGTAACGATGATCTTAGATTGATGGCCGTCGAGACGGATTGAGCCTCCAAGTCTGGGAACGATGAGGTTGCCCGCTGACGTGTTGACGCGCAGGCTGAACGCCTCGTTTGTGCCGACAGTTGAGTCCTCGTGAAGCGTGACGTAGAATCCAGCGTTGGTTGTAGGGTTCCGCAGTTCGTATGCTTTGACAGCAGTGTTGTTGGTGTATTGCGTTCCGTTACCGATGAGGTCGGTCATTGTCAGATCTCGTGCACTGCGCGTAAACAAGGAAAGCAGCTTGGTCTCATAGTACTTGGACGAGATGGATCGGTCTTCGGAGATAGGAGAGGAGTAGTCGTAGCTAGTGGCTGTGACAGGCGCAGCAATCGCTCCCCAATTCGTTCCTCCATACAACATGTAAAGACTCATGGCTGTGACTCTCTGGGCGATGTTCCACCGGTAGAATAGATTGACAAAGTCCACTCCAGTATCGTCGCCGCAGCCACCTTCAGGTCCAGCCCAGGGGTTGTACGAGCCGCCCTGGAACTCAGGCATGAACGACGGCATTGTCGGCGAAAAGTCGAGGAAATAGTCATAGTATTCGACAACCTGGTAGGCTACATACTCGCCATTGGTGGATGTACACTGGCTGACATCGCAAGTCCAGCACTGGAAAAGTCAGCTAAGTCAAGATTCAATCGCGACAAGCCACTTACTGAAGGATAGGAGTCCAAGCCCACAACATCGACATTGCCTCCAGCGTTGGACCAATCGCGACTCCAAGCCATGGCATTCATATTGGGATCATTTGCGGTGAACGGTACGAGAATGCCATTCTCGCGAGCGCTGCTTTCAAGAAGCTCCATGTAGGCGATGGCTGTCTCGTTAGGAACCCTTTCGCTGGGATCACTGAGCCATTGATCGCCATACTCGTTCTCGATCTGGTAGCAGAACGTATTTTGGCCATTCGTAACCTGGTAGCGACTAGTGATCTCCGTCATTTTCTCGAAGTATGGCTTCCATGCTTCCGTGTATCGCGAATCGTTGTTGCGCAACGTTCCATAGTCGCCAGTCGTCAGCCACAGAGGAAAGCCACCCGCACTGGCTTCTGCATTTATGTAGGGACCCGGGCGAACGATAATATACATCCCAAGCTCCTTTGCGAGTTCGAAGATTGGTGTGATGTCGCGGGCACCGGTGGAGAAGTCGACCGTGTGATTATTCGGGGCATGCCACGCCCAGCTCGAGTAGATTGAAAAAGTCGTAAAGCCTGCAGCTTTGATCTTCTCAAGGATATCCCTCCATAGGCCAGGTACTGGGATGCGCCAGTAATGGAATTCACCGGAGAAGACAAAGATCCTCTCACCATGGACCTTGAAACTGTAATGATCCCACTGGATGTCTGTGGTCAGACCGTCATCGTAAAGCGGCCATCCAGTTTCCGTCTGGTTCTGGGCAGCGGCCAGAAGACCTGTACTGGAGAGTAAAAGAGCGCATAACTTGGTGATCCGCGTCATGGCTGCTCCTTGAACTGACCTGATGGAGGATCAGGAATGCGTGCCTGTAAGGATTACCCATTTTCGACACTCCGGGCCAGGAGGTCCAATTTATAGCCCGCCTTCAACTGAGGAAAAATGTTTAACATCTCGTCTCCCATGATTTCAGGCCCCGCCGTCTAGCCTAATTAGTGGCGTAGAACCCATGAGCCCTGGTTTATTTCCGAAAGTCTCTCTTGAAAGCGTAAGCGTAACTCCGAATGACACTATCCACAACTGGCTCTGTGATGAAATCAACGACTGCCAAGCGAACTCATAATACTCGTTGATTTGAATAGTACTAGGCTACCATTCGTTCAAGAGGACATGGAGGCCAAAGAACCAATGATTAAACGGTGCCGATAGTGCCAACTTAATGAGACCGGGACAGGGTTCGGGGTGGAGTACACCCAGGGACCAAAACCATTGTAGATTCAAGCTTGCGCTGCACAAGTCCGGCGGAGGTGTCAGCCAATGTGGGGTGGAACTAGTCTGTGGGGAAACCAGGCCGGGTTTTTCCTCCATTCAGAGGGATTGTCGGGGTGCAATTTTCCTGTGGGGGAATCGGATGGCTTGATCGATGCCTGTCTGACGCAGAGATGCTGTGCCGAGGTAAGCAACACCAGTTAGCTGGACCAGAAACCCCAAGGACAGAGCTGTCAACGTACTTCCAGGTTCAAAGGGAGAGCTAGATAGTCTTTCGATAAATGAGGTTGTTCGTTGATGAAACAGATAGTATTATAGGGAATGTGATGAATCTCGAGATGGAGATGATGACGGGGAAGTGCAGGATTCTAGCCCACAGTAAGAGAGCCCAGCGCGCACATGGCCGCGACGCCACCACCAGATGAGCTGCATTGTTACGAGATCATAATTTGAGATCTTAATAAGATAATATGATTGCCCAATTCCAAACGATTTCTTTGACTAAATTACAAAAACTTTTCCAATTCCATCCCGACACCTAAACCAACAGCCTCCATGTCCAACGGTGGATGAGGTTCCAAAAAGAAGTATGTACACACACAATAGTAGGGATCTATCACAAGATAAACGGGGAATGATTATGAACAGCAGGGGGTGAAACAGGGAAGACAATAATCCAAGAGAAGCTGTCCAAGAGAAGCAAAGTACATTAAGAAACCGTATGTAACCGGGCCCGTGGATAGGCTGCTAGCCTGACGGCGACCACTTTAGATACCGTGGGCCATCAGACCGGAACCAACCCGGGCCCGGCGGGGGGAAACCGCGGGTCCTGCCTCTGCAGGATGGTCGATGAATCCCGAGGGAAACCGACCGACGTTATCGTACATCCCCGAACCGCCATGATGAAAGGCCGATTTCGCGATTCGGGCCGAGGCGACAGGCTATGTCGCCTTCAGTTGATCTTCCCTGAAAAATATTTTTATCCTTCTATACTGATTCGAGGCTCCAGATAAGTAACCCATAACCAGCGGTGCTGAAGACTTAGGCAGAGCGATCCAGAACCTCGTAGGGGTTGGAGTCTTTAGTGTCCACGACAATGGTCGAGCTCTGGAGCTCTTCCTTAGTCGCCTTCTTCGCGCCCTTCTTGCCGCTGACGGTCGAGAACCCTGAGTCGGAGTCAGCATCACTGCTGGCGACACGCGTTTTCTGCTTGGCAGCAGTTGCGCGGGTGCGAATAGGAGAGTTCTCAGCAGGCTTCTGCTGGTTCTTCTGTGCCCGGAGGGCTTGGATCTTGTTCACAGCCTCATCTTCGGTAGCTTCACTGGTCTCTCCGTTGACCTCGACGGCCTTGCGGATCTCGCGGCTCACGCCTCTCAGGGCATCCATTCCGGCTTTCTCAGCGGCGTGCAACTGAGTCGGCTGACGGGGACCGGGCTCCTTGCGGTAGAGGTACGAGCGAACGAAGAACCGGGCAAAGAGGTAGGTCAAAGGCAGAAGGTACATCACGTTGAGCCAGATAGCGAAACCCTGGCCGCTGGTGTCCATACAGGTCACCATCGGTCCGACATGGAGGACGCGCGCACCAGCAGCAGCTTCCGGGACACCCACGTTCTCAGCAATGCCTTCCGCGCCCGCAGCGCGGAACCCGAGCTTCTTGAGCCATGGCACAAGTCCAGCGCCGGCAGTACCCGCGGGCACAGTCGGGGTGTCAACAGGAGAGGCCGGAGCGGTCTGGCCCACAGGAAGAGTGTAGCTGAAGAACAGGTAGGAAGCAGCCATGGTGGAGCCAATGATAAACTGGGTGATTTGCATGGTGGTCAAGGATCTCTTGATCACGGTGGGGACGCGAATGCGCAGGGCAGTCACAGTGTAGTAGGTGTACTGCATGGGACGGTCAGAACATATGAGCAACAAGTCAAAAACAACCCGAGAGGGACGTCACATACCATCAAAGCATGAATTCCAGAGTTGACCAAGGTGAAGATCCAGATAGGAGCTGCGACGTAACGGATACCGGCCCACATGCACATCATGGCACCGGCGTGATGGTAAGTCTGCAGGGTCGAGCTCTTCTTACCCTTGGCCAGGATGATGACGGTATCAAGGACCTCGTAGAACTTGGACAGGTAGAAAATCCAGCCGAGGAAGGCCAGACCCTCATTCCAGAGACGACCAAGATCAGAGGGGTCCGGAACACCGCCTGCAGCCAGGCTGAACTCGGGGTTGCGGAAAGTCCACTGGTCGACAGTAGAGTCGTACGTAGCCGCGTTACCGTAACCACGGGGCCCATTGATCTTGCACAGCGTATCGGCAACAGCTGCGACGTAGTTGGGATCATCCCGACTGGGCCACGAGCTGCGGAACGCACGGATCATGCCCGCAAAAGTCCATGCCGAGTAGATGGCCAGGAAAACATTGTGAAGGATGACGAACAGCTTAAAGAGACGCGTCTGACTGAATCCATAAGGCTTGTAACCCCGGCTCTTGTTGATGCGATTGACGAGGACCACGGTCACAGCGTACACACTGGCGATTGTGATCGGAACGCGCACGTCCAACAGCTGGTTGTAGAGCGTCGGGGGGATGTTGAAGGGCTGGTTCCATGTCGGCTCGGAGATCACAGGGGCGGGGACAGTTGCTGGGAGCTCGCTGGGAGGGAATTTCAAGAGGGACGAAGGAGGCAGGCCGATGCGAATAACGGCCGGGTTCGCCTCGCCGTGGACGGTGAAGTCGTACATGGTCGGGACGCGATTTCGTGCGACTTTGGGACGACCCGACGATAAGGGAAAAGATACGGATGGGAGATTGAAGGAAGAATCAGGAGGGAAAGAAGATGAGAATTGGCCGGCGACTCTTTAAGAAGAAATGGTGGGACACTTCAATTAGCCCGAGCCGAGAGAAGAAAATCACCAGGAAAATTTCCAGGCCAAGCAAGTCCACTCGGACAACTGGATACTGGAGGGGAGCGCGCGCAAATCCCGCTGTGAACTGGGGATAAGCAGCAATTGTAAGGCGCGACCAAAAACCTTACGCGAGCGTGGAGGAGGGGAGAGGGAGGAGGAGGATAGGCAACGGTTGGTCGAACGAACGGTGATCGCTGGTGACAAGGAGTTAAAGCAAGGCCGATGTGATTAATTCATAATTGAGGTCAGTCAATCTCCGGATTGCAGTTGGACCGTGGATCAATGAGAGTCACGATGATCGCGGCGAGTGGAGCCGCGCAGCGTTTTGTTGGGAATTCGGCCAACCTTCAAGCCTCGGCCCAACAAAGTGGTTACTGGAGAGCTCTGGCATGCTTGTGAAAGATACTGATAAAGATGATGATGATGATGGATTGGCATTGGAATTGCATGGGGGTTTGGGGGATCTTCCCCCTTGAAGGAGGTCATCCTCCATCCTATACAAGCTGACTGCATTTGTTGGAGATGATATAAGATCTTGTTTCTCCCACTCACATGATGACCGGCCCGGATTTACTGAATATTTCTCCGCCTCGACAAACAAACCGAACAAATCAACCCTCCGCAATTGCTCTCAACCGCATGAAAACAAGGTAGTACAACATCTCCTATTGCCCCAATATACTCCCTTTTCTTATCAAACACCTAGTACAACACTCCGGAAAGGAATTGAGTTGCCTTAAAACGGTATGACATCAACCAGCGGAAGTGACAGCCATTCCACGCCAATTAAGGATTTGGTTTTGGTTTTCTCCAACAATTCGATTTCCGGCCTTCCAGAAGCAGTACAGTGGATCCCGTGACTGCACCATGACTCGTGGTGCTGACTCAGCGCCTGACATCACCCAACCATCATTGACTCGACAAATCCGGCCCTCATTGGCTAGACGGACAAGTAGATACTGGCAAGAACTGTTTGTAGTAGAAACGCAATTGCCTGGCAGGAATTGCCCTAGTAGGTACTGCTCCAGGTTTACACGAGAAGCTGCCCAGTTAGACCTTTGTCAGTAGATGAGGATTCTGAGCCTGACGGCTCAGAACGCACATCACTCGTATTTCTCTGTGACGATCATCAAGGTCATGCCGTCAAGTCTGGAGTTCACAATCAGGGAGATGTATCGACTCCTTGGCGTATGTTCGAGCATTGGCAGCTTCTGTGGTCGTAGCTTACTGTATCCTGTTAACACTAGGATTAGATGGCACACATCATTTCATTAGCGGAGAGTACATGCTCAACGGAGCGACGTCGTATTTTTCGGTAGCATTGCTAGCAAGTTTCTGGTCTATCTCCCATGTATTACTCCTCATAGTCCTCGAATACAGGATACATAAGCCTAGTACTACTGGATAATGACATAGGCGTGGTATGTCGCCGACTAATGTCGGAATCAAAGAAGTGCAATGTCCAATCCGATATTTTGATTCAACTACTCCCTTATGAACGCCTCCACGCGCAATACCCCGTCCGTTAATCCATAGTCCATCAAAGTACCAGTTTCCGTATTCCACATACCAAGATGCATGTATGTACAAAAGCGAGAGTGGGTATGTATGTATGTATGCACGCACGTACGTATCTTCACATGACAAGACAGG